CATCCAAATTTGAAAAAATGTATTTCTTTAGGTTTCAAACACTGTAATAATAGATATAAAGCAAAAATAAAAACCTGTTGCAAAGTTCTAAATTGTGTCTTTTGGTTTAGAATGAAACTAAGCTGGATTATTTGGAAGTGAATGAGAAGTGTTTAAACTTGTTAGCCTAACAGTAGAAATAAGAATTGCTCCAGCCTGCTCCTGCTATAAAGCGTTGTGTGTGTGTGCGCGCGCGCGCGCGTGTGTGTGTGTGTGTTGGGTGTATGTTTAGTTTTTTTAAAAAAACTTTATTGACATACAATAAACTGCACCTATTTAAAGTGTATAATGTGATAATTTTTTATATACATGCACTCATGAAACCATTGCCACTATTAAGATAGTGAATATATCCATCACCCCTATAAGTTTTCCTATGTCCTTTGGAATCTTCTCTTTCTGCCGCAGCAACCACAAATCTGCATTCTATAGTCACTATAGATTAGTTTGCATTTTCTACAATTTCTGTAAAGGATCTTGACATTATTTCATTATCATTCCATAGCCTTCTGAGGCTTATAAACTAACTGAATGTTGTCTCCATTTTGCTAATGAAGAAATAATCTCATAAACATTGAAGTCATACAGTTCACAGACTCCTCACTTCAGATTGGAACAATTCCTAAAACAGAAATTACAAGAAGCCAACAATTTGATTTAACACCAAAGGAGGGTTTTCTTTTTGCTGATAGTGTGTTTTAAGTTTTACTTAGTTGTCAACATTTAAAAAATGTCCTCATTAAAAAATGTCTTGAAAAAATACTGAGTATCTGGCACGATTGGGCCTGAGTTTCTGCTTGGCAACAGTCTGCAAGAGCTGCACCACCACAGTCGCCACCATTCCTGGTTGTCTCCGTAACCCGTCGTTTTCTTTATAACAGAGAAAGGGACTTTAAAAAAATAAAAACTTTTTATTATGGAATATTTTAAACGTTACATAAGTATAGCATAATAAACCATTTACCTTTGAGTTTATTACAATTCACGTTGAGCCATGTTGTAGAGTAAAACTTCTTTCCATAGGGTTTTCATAGCTGTGACATTTCAGAAGCAGTTCTTCAGAGTGTAACAGAGAAAGTGACTTTTTAAAGCCATGTTTCTATTTTTCTTACTCCTTGCCTGCTTTACTCATATTACCCTTCTGGTCCTTGAAGGCCAACGTTGACCTTTCCTGGGATACCCTCCACCCCTCACTGCATATACACGTGTTCTTGCTTGTGTCCTTTACTCCTGCCTAGAACACCACCTTCCTATGGAAATCCAGCAAGGCCTTATTGATAGGTTACTTCCTCAAGAGATTGCTAACACACATTACTGGAAACAGGGCCTTCGTTTCAGGAGGCCTGGATTCCAAATCTTGGCTCCTCAGTTCTTTCATCACACCATTATACAGTGTTGCCTGGTAAAGACGACACTTAGTGTTTCATTTTGTTTACTTATTTAGGTAATTTTTATTTATTTATTTATTATTTATTTTTGTTTATTTATTTAGGTGATTTGGGTGAAAGTTTACAAAGCAAATCCGTTTTCCATACAGCAGCTCATACACATTTTGTTTCATGACATTGACTGCAATTCCCCACAATGTTACAGCTCTCTTCCCACTTCCTCCCTGTAGTTACTACTTCCCTGTGTCCTTTCCTATGCATTCCTGCCCCCTGACCAATCTCCCTGTACAAATACTGCTCTTCTGTTCTCTCATGATTGATCATTTTAAGGAGTGTATCTACCTGATGTAAATGTTCGCTCTATATGCCTGTCATTTGACTGGAAGCCACAGAGTTCTATTCCAGACCTGCAGGATAACTAGAGGCCATAGTCTTGGGGGTCTCCACCAGGCTCAATCAGACCAGTAAACCTGGTCTTTTTATGATTTGGGGTTTTGTTCCACGTTGTTCTCCCACTCTATCCACCATCTCCTGCACTGATCCCTTTCCAAGAGAAACTTAATGTTAGGAAATACAGTCTTAACCTTTGGGGAAAATAATTAACATCTTAAGAGCCCCAAAACAATGCTCATTTTGAACAACTACTTAAAACATTCTCTGCCTTTACTGCAGCCAGCTCAGCTCCAGATGCTAGCCTCTGGGACAAGAGAATTTAGCCAATGATTCTCAGTGTTTTGTTTGTTTTTATTACTATGATTTGGGTGAAAGTTTACAGAGCAAATTGACTTTCCATACAGCAGTTCACACACACGTTGTCTCATGACACTGACTACAATTTACCACAATGCAACAGCTCCCCTCCCACTTCCTCCTGATAGTTACCTCTTCCCGGTGTCCGTCCCTCCATGCACTCCTGCCCCCTGAGCTGTCTCCCTGTGCATAAGCAGCCCTTCTTTCTCCCATGATTGTTCTCTCCAAGGAGTGTATCTACTTCAGGTAAATGTTCAACTCATATGTCTGTCTTTTGTTTGGCTGGAAGCCACAGGTGTGGGTTTAATTCCAGACCTGAAGGGCAGCTAGGGACCATAGTCTCAGTGGTTCCACCAGGCTCTATCTGACCAGCAAACCTGGTCCCCTTTTTTTTTTTTCCCCAAATGATTTTGACCTTTGTTCCACATTGTTCTCCCTCTCTATCCAGGATCTCCTCCGTAGATCCTCCCAAGTGGTTGGCAGTGGTAGCCGGGCACCATCTAGTTCTTCTGGTCTCATAGTCATATAGGGTGAGGATTGCCATGAATCTTTGGTTTTCTTCATTCTTTACTCTGGACGAGGAGAGACCCATGGTTACATCTAGATGGTTGCTCGCAAGCTTTTAAGATCCCAGTCATTACTCATCAAAGTAGGAGGGATTCTCACAGTGTTTTTGACTTTGCAAGTAAATAGTAATTTCAACACCTTGCTTAGAATTTGTAATAGAACTCTATCCAGACATAGGAAGCTAGGACAGATTGCAGAGCAAGTAGCCTTTGAGCTGGGCCTCAAAAGATTCTGTTTTTGACTGCTCACCAGAAGGCTGGAGGTTCAAACCCACCAGCCACTCCTCTGAAGGAAGATGGGGCAATCTACTTCCGTAGTGATACTGCCTCAGAAACCCAAGGAGGGGTCACTATGAGTCAGGTCCGACTTGACGGTACATAACAACAACAGAATGGCATTTTAGAAGAGGGAATTGCATCTGCAAAAAACCTGAGAAGTTTTGTAAATGGTAAAAGTTATAGTAGAAGCAAAAAATGACAGCGATGGAGAGGACTAACTATAAATAGGTAGAAGCCAAATCATTTAGTCTTTTGGTTCCAGATGTAAGGAAGCCTTTATTCCATTATCTGCAGGTAACAGGAATAAAGAATTGTGATCTCACATTTGGAGAAAAGCTTGCCATTTTCTTTCTTTAGCCCCAGTGCTAAATTGGTACTTTCTCAATAGCAGTCAACCAAGAGATGTGTGATGAAGTGGCCTACAGAGAGGGGGGCCTGTCAGAGAAAAAGGCCCAGGAATTTTTGCTTTAGGCCAAATTCCCTGCAAGGTCCCCTTAACCCTTTCCAACTAGGAACTAAATGCCAGACGGTGATGAAAAAAAAAAAAAAAAATTCGCAAGTTACCTTGACTCATCCTAAGGCAAAGCGTGGCAGAGCAATTAAGGACGATGCCTGGTGCCAGACTCCTGGTTTTGAATCCCTGCTCTAAGCACTGTTTAGCGGTGTAACCTTGAACAAGTTATTTAACCTTTGCCTTACTGTTCTCAGCGGTAACGGGGGAATGACAATTGTACTTGTCTAGATAAGTAGTTAGGAGAATTAAGCATACAGTAGTCATTCAATGAACTATTATTGCAATTATTAAAAGCCTTATAAGAAAATTGAGGCCCGGGGAGAAAATGCCCAATCACACAACAAATTAGCGATGACGTTAGAACTGTTGCCTCATTCCCAGCCCAGGATTCCAACCCTCGCCCGGAATCCTCAGAGATTCCTAAAATATCCTACAAGGCATAGAAGTGCACAACGGGTAATAGGGGGGATTGATGGCGTTCAGGAAACATAGCCAGGAGCAAGGTTTGGGGGCTGAATCATAGCTTCTGGGTGATAGGAGGTTGACGTAAGTCATTGTGCATGACTAGCTCCTTTCGGACCTCCAGGGTATCAGGCTGCTAGAACGAAAGCCCATTCTATTGCCTCTTGGGAGTTGTGGTCAGCTAGCCCCTGTGCATGTAGGGGAGTGTAGTGTTTTCCCTCCCCCCGCCTTCCCAATTGACCCGCCTCATAGGCCGCCTTCGTTTTAGCCTTCCCAGCAACCTCCGCGAGAGCTCAGGCTATTGATTGGCTGCGGCGGGAGCGGGTACCTCTGCCGGCAGCGGTTGCCCAGGGTTTCCGGTGCGAGGCCAGAGCGGGTGAAGCTGTCGGTACGTCGGCGGTGAGGTGCGTACTGCGGAGGCTAGCAAGATGAGACAATCATGGGGCTTGTCTGGATACTTTTGGCTAGTGGGAGGAATCACAACGATTCCGCGCGTGGGCTCAGGCCGGGAGGCGGGTTAATACCTCTGCGCATGCGTGGCCGGAGGTCGCGCGGGGCGGGGGTGGCGGTGGCTGCTTGCGCGCGCGCGCGCGCGCGGAAACCCACGTGAGTCCTGGGGACCCGGGGGGAGGGACTGGGATTCTAGCATCCCGCCACGTCAGTCTCCGGCTCTGAGCCAATCCCGCTCTCGACCTGTCGTGAGGGGGCCGTGTTGTGTCGGGAAGTGGCTTTGGTAAAAAGGAGGCCTCTTTCCTCGTTCGCTCCAAGAGCAGCGCACCGAAGACCTGACTGGGTACACCAGGTTCCCTTGATCGGCCAGAGACCGGGAGAAACATTGGCTTCCCCTGGTAAAGGCCAGCCAGTTTGTTTTTGTTTTGAGAGGCTTTGTGCGCCTGGTGTTGGGATTTCTGATCAGGCTGAGAAGAATTTCGAAGTCTTGGAAAATAGCAACTGTGTTTGTTTTTTGAAGAATTTTCTCTTAATCTAGCACTGCAAACCACAATGAAGAACCAAGACAAAAAGAATGGGGCCGCCAAACAGTCAGGCAACACTTCCAACCCAAAAAGCAACCCAGGGCAACCGGAAGCGGGACCAGAGGGAGCCCAGGGTCGCCCCAGCCAGGCGACTCCTGCAACCGAAGCTGAAGTTTCCACCAGCCAGGCCCCTGGGAAGCCTGAGGGTGTGTGCCAACTCTGTTTTTCCAGCGGAGAGGGGGAGGAGTTTTTGGTACTCCTGTTTAGCTTCTGGAATTAGAGGCTGAGGCCGCTGTTTACCCAGAAAGGAGGAAATGTAGAATGAGATGAGGAGAGTACTGAGTCTGTGTGATACCCACCCTTTCCCTGGGAGTTGATAGAACCTCCCACTCCAAACACAGGAGCAGAACTCTTGAGAGAAAGTTGTAACAGGATTAAATCAGGTGGCAGTCAAAAGAGAGGCCCAGCCTGCAAATCCTGGGCCCATTAGGAAACACTTCATTAGTCACCAGTTGGTAACTGCTCTCTCCATACCTGAGGCTTTCCTGGGACTTTGTTAATAAATAGCTTTTGGGATAAGAAGGAGATGGACTAGAAGTTGAGTTTCTGCAGCATGTGTAGCCTATGCTGGATGCTTTACATACTTGCCCTCTTCTGTGCTCACAACAAACCTTGTTGAGTAGTGGTGAAGGGTAGTTATACAATTTTATAAGAAAATAAACTGAGCCTTAAAGAGGTTAGCCAACATTTAACCCAAGCCAGTGAGTTTAGCTGGGCCTGAAGATTCCAAGCCAGTGATACTACTATCTTATTTCTCTCCCTGTCCCTAATCCTCTCCTACTATAGGGGCTCAAGCCAAAACTGCTCAGTCTGGGGCACTCCGTGATGTGTCTGAGGAGCTGAGCCGCCAGTTGGAAGACATCTTGAGTACTTACTGTGTGGACAACAATCAGGGGGGCCCAGGTGAGGATGGGGCACAGGGTGAGCCTGCTGAACATGAAGATACAGAGAAGTCCCGGAGCTATGCTGCAAGGAACGGGGAGCCTGAGCCAGGGACCCCAGTAGTCAATGGTGAGAAGGAAACCTCCAAAGGGGAACCAGGCACAGAGGACATCCGGGCACGTGATGAGGGCGGAGATCGAGACCACCGGAGGCCACAGGAGAAGAAGAAAGCCAAAGGGCTGGGTGAGCAGAGGGCATCTACTTAGTTTAATCAGAGCCAGGGACGTGGGCCACAGCATAGAAATGTGTAGGTTGTGCACTACACAAGGGCACCTGGCCTCAGAAGCAAGTGGGAACTGAAATCCAGCTTGCTTGCTCTTTGAGGGAAATAGAGAACAGGAGCCCTGGCAGTCCTGTGCCAGCCAGCACCATGGTGTGACCTGCGGCAAATCCTTTTCTCTGTCTGGGCCTTAGTTTGCACTTCCCTATAGTAAACAAATTGGACTAGACCAGAATTGAAAACTCAAATACATAAACCAAGCTAGCCAGGGGGCCCATGACCAAGAGAGTACCTACTTCATCCAAAGGGTTGACTGCCACCTGGTCCCAGCCAAACTATGATCTTGGTAGCATGCCAAACTATGATCTTCATGTAGCCAGATTTTTTTTTTTTTTTTTAAAGAAAAATAAGAAATCAAGAGTTTTGTGAAATAATCTAGATTTTTTTTTAAAAAAAATTGTTGGCAGTGTAAGTACCGGGAGCCATACACAACCCCCTGTGGCTGGATTTGGCTTGTGTGCCAGTGATTTGCAGCTTCTGTACCAGTCTCTTGGAACTTCCCAGGACTGACACTCGGAAGCCTGGTGCTGTGCTGTGTAAGGTAGCAACAGTTAGTAGGGAACGGCAGTGTCTGACAGGCTATTGAAGGATCAAGCTTGGTGACTTTAAACCCCTTATCCCTATGTCCTTCCTACTCCTGACTATCCTACCCCCAACTGTCACTCTAATGCAAAGAGGAATAAAAAATTCTTTTTTTTTTTTTTTTTTTAAATCTTAGAATCACATGTGGAAGGTATATTCATTTTACAGCTCACTATTTGACTACCTGTGTTGCCAGGAAATTTAGTATTTTCTCAAGGAGTTCAGGAGACTTAGCTCTTCTTTTATTCTTCCTCTTTTGGAAGGGCCTTCCTTGCACTGAACTCAGGGTGAGACATCTTTCATCTTTTGGTTGTTGTTGTTGTTGTTAGGTGCCATCGAGTCGGACCCGACTCATAGCGACCCCTCCTTGGGTTTCTGAGGCAGTATCACTACGGAAGTAGGATTGCCCAACCTTCCTTCCAAGGAGCGGCTGGTGGTAGATGAGGCAATTGTTTTCTCCCGGTGCCTACTGAGATTACACAGGGATTCAATTGTTCATTCAGTTATTGGGCATGTCCTCTGTAACAGGCACTAGGGACAGTCCTGAGGTCCTCATGAAGTATGTAGTCTAGCAAGGAAGGAAGGCAGCCAGTTTGATGAGGAGAAATAAGGTAGGATAGGGAAGAGCTGTTTTAAGGCTCTAGAGTGAGGGCACAGGTCTAGAGGGGCTCGGGGCCCTCCAAGAAGTGTATACATGCCTTTGCTGCCTGTGCTTTGCAGGGAAGGAGATTACACTGCTGATGCAGACACTGAATACACTGAGCACCCCAGAGGAGAAGCTGGCAGCGCTGTGCAAGAAGTATGCTGAACTGGTCAGTCCCCAACCTGCCTCTCATACCTTCCTTGCCTTTTGAAAGTCATCAGGGCACCTGGAGTGGGACTATGGTGCAGGGGCATATGGGTGGTTTAATTCCTATCTACCCTTTCTCTAAGCCTTTTCTCTAACTTAAATAGGAAGTTAAGTCCCAGCTGGCCTCTTCAGGGCTGACAGTGAGAGAAGGAATTCCACATTCCTTGAAACAAATTTCTTAATGAGTTGCAGGTGGTGAAACCCTGCTTCCAGACCTGAGTCCTAGATACTCTTACCTTGCTTATGTGTGGTTTGGTACGTAGGCACTCTAGTGCCGAAGGCATTTGACTGCTAACCAGAAGGCTGGCAGTTCCCCCGCCACTCTTCAGAAGGAAGAGTGGGCAGTCCTCTTCCTTAGAGATAACCCCCAAGATATGGACATGCATGGTGACATTATCACACTTAACAAAATGCACACTAATCATTTGATACTATGTAATACCTGGTCCAGAGTCAGAGTTTCCCAGTTTAAAAATGTTAGTTTGATCAAATGAGGGTCCATATGAAGTCTCTCTATTACTTTTGGTTCACAGTACTCCAGAATAATCTTTCCTTCACCATCATCCTCCTTTTTGTTTTTCATAACATTGACTTATTGCAGAAATCAGATCAGTTGTCCTAGAGGATACCCTACTTTCCAGCTTTGCCTTCTTTGTGGCATTTAACTTGTTTCTTCACCTCCTTATAATCCTCTAAGTGATGTGAGGGTTAGCTCTAAAAGTTTAATCCAGTTTAAGTTCAGCTATTCTGATAGGAATTTTCCATAGGTGGCTCTCTATACTCAGGAGGTGCAGTGGTTAAGCACTCAGCTGCTCACTGAAAGGTCAGCAGTTAAAACTTACCAGCTGTTCTTCAGGAGAAGATATGACAGTCTACTTCCAGAAAGATTGCAGCCTTGGGAAACCCTATGGGGTAGTTCTGCTTTGTCGTATAGGTGGCTGTGGGTTAGAATTTGACTCAACAGCAGTGGGTTTGTTTATTTTTTGTTTTGGTGCTTTGTGTTATGTCATAAGAAACACAAGGTGGGGTTTCCCCCTCATTTAGTGATGTAAATGGTCAAATAGTGGCAATAGGATCCCTCCTCTATCAGATTCCCTGCAGAATCTGAATTAACAGATTCATCCACTGATGGGTCGTTGCTTATTTATTTTAAAGTTCTTCATTCCATCTGCTTTTATTACCTGGAATCTCCTGTTAGAAACTTTTCTTATATGTAAAATGGGGGGAATCATATCTCCCCAGTGGGATTATTGCAAGAATTACATAAAAGGGTCTTAAGGAGATATAGTACCTTTTCAGAATGATTGAGCCAGGGAGATTGATGCAAGAGAGGAGGGAGCAGTTTGCTGGAGTTATGTTCTCAAGTAAGCAAGGGAGATGAGGTCCAGCACACAAGCAGAGGAGGGGGGTCAGCCTTGGAGAGTGGCAAGGGAGGAGAGGACAGGTGCCAGTGGACTGGTGGTTGTGGCGCTGGTGCCTCTGTGTTCACAGTGAAACGGGGACGATAGCTGGAGGGGAGGGGAACTTGGCGAGGACGATAAAAGAGTTGTCTAGAAGGAGAGTATAAATAGCACTGGAAATTAGTAGGATTGCTGGGCATGCAAAGATCTTCTTGAAATTCTGAAATTGGTCATGAATTGGAAGTGAGATCCTTCAAGAAGAGTTACTTTAGCGTCAATGCAGAGGAAGCAGGAGGTTGACTTACTATGCTTGAGATTTTGCTGGGAGAAAGGAACAAGAGAATGAAGACATGAGGAATCTAAGCCAGGTAAGAAGGTAGGTGATAAAAGGGGGGTTGAAGGAGAGTGAAAAGATGTTTGGGTCAGTGAATTGGAGGCCCAGTAGGCTCAGAGACTTGTTGGAGACTATGAGTATTGAAAGAAATGAATTAGAAAGATAGAAGATGGTAGTCTTGGCCTTGAGATGGTGGAAGTGAGTACAGGTCCCACTAATGACAGGGTCTAGATGTGCCCTGTCCAGGACAGTAGCCACAAGCCAGTTGAAATAGCTAGTCCAGATATGTATGTACTGTGATGTAAAAGACACATTGCATTTCCAAGACCTAGGGCAAAAGAAAGAATGTAAAATAATTCTCTAATAAGGTTTTTTAATATTGATTCCATGTTGATGTTTTAATATTTAAGATATTCGTTAAAATAAATATATCATTAAAATTAACTTCACTTATTTCTTTTAATTTTTTTAATGTGGTCATTAGAAAATATAAAATTACTTCTATGGCTTGCATTCTGTTTCTACTGGACAGGGTTGGATAGTACTGTGGGGAGGGGGCTAAGCTGGGCCAGAGAACAGGGTCTGTAGAGGAGGTTAAGGAGTGTAAGGCCAAGGAGTCAAAGACTTGTCTGTTGATACTGAAATGACTAAGAATGGTAGTAGCTTGTCTTTCATGTTGGAAAGAGAAGAGAGAAATGTTGAGCCAGTGCTAAAGTCTTGAAGAAGTTGGGTAAGTGGGAGTCAAGGGGTTCTGCTGATGAATACAAGGTAGGGGAGCAGGTGTGAGGGGTGAGTGTCCAGAGAGTTAGGGGAATGCAATGATCTGAAGTGTCTTGAGAGCTTTGTCTCAAGTCAGCTGGGATAGAAGCTGGCATCCACTGCCTGGGTGGCCCTGCTTGTTCTCTCTGAGTAGGTTATTGTAAGGAGTAAATGGAGCTGTGAGAGAGCTCCCTTGGCCTCAGCTGTCACAGCCAGGTTTGCAGGAGAGGGCAGGAGTCAGACCAGCTCAGGGGGTGCTGTGATGATTCCCATCAAGGAGAGCCCAATAGGGCACTCACCTGCCCTCCCTGTCCCCAGCTAGAGGAACACAGGAACTCTCAGAAGCAGATGAAGCTCCTGCAGAAGAAGCAGAGCCAGCTGGTGCAAGAGAAGGACCACCTGCGGGGTGAGCACAGCAAGGCCGTCCTAGCCCGCAGCAAGCTGGAGAGCCTGTGCCGCGAGCTGCAGCGGCATAACCGCTCCCTCAAGGTAAGCTGCACACACCCGCGCCTCCGGGGTCCTTTGGCTTCCATTTATCTTCAGTGGGTTTTCCCCTTGAAAAGTAGCACAGGCTTGCAATATAGAAGTAGACTTCCCCCATAATACCCCACCTTAGGTAGAACTACTTATAGGCAGTTAGCATGTACTAACATTATTGGTTCCTGGGTGGCACTAATAGTTAAAAGTTCACCTACTAACAGAAAGGTTGACGATTCAAACCTACCTAGAGGTACCTTGGAAGAAGGGCCTGGGATCTCCTTCCAAAAGATCCCAACCATTAAAAATCCTACTCTGACACACATGAGGTTGTCATGAGTCAAGAGTCAAGTTCACTTGATGGCAACTGTTCTTTGTTTGTTTTTAAAATAAGATAAAGGCTAAGATGCTATAACAAAGGGAGCCCAAAATGCAGTGGCTTCACTATTTCTAAATTAAATACCAGTCCCAGAGGATAGTTGTTTGGAGGAGGAGTTGTTTGAGGAGTTTAAGGATTTCAAGGTCTTTGAGGCTAGGGAGTAGGAAAGTTTTTATCTTGATAGTGAAATTACAGAGAATGGTAATACGAATGTAAGAATCACATTGACCACACTGGCAGAGCTGACAACAGCTCATCTCCCAGAGGTTGGTCAGTCAGAAACACTGGGTCCTTTCTCTTGTTCTGCTCAACCTGTGGTTAAACATGGGTTGATCCCCAACTGCCAGGTTGTTTTCACGTGCATGTCCTCACAAATGCATATAGATCTTAACAGAATTTAAGGGAAATAAGTGGTGTTTTGCAACTTGGGTTTGTTTTGTTAATATTTGTCTTTTAAAACATTACGATTTTAATATAAATTTGATGTGAGGGATTCAAAGGTGACAAGTGTAAGAAATTAAAGGTAATAGTTGCCCACTCCTTAACCCCACTGCCCAGCAGAAACCACTCCCAACTAACCTACTTCTATGGAAGGTGAAGTAAAGTCTTCTAGATTTTCCTCTCTATGTATAAAATCTTACATATATTTCATTTTTTAGATGAAATTATTTGGCATGTACTGTTTCATACCCAATTAGTTTTTTCACATATTTCAGAGTGCTTGATCTTTCCCCGTCATTTTATGCTGTGGGAGGAAGTGAGGTAGGCTGCTTCCAAAAAGTTTCACAGCCTTGGAAACCCTAGGGGCAGTTCTACTCTGTCTTATAGGGTTACTATGAGTTAGAATCGACACAGTGACAATAAGTATCACTGCGAAAACGGCAAGGAGGCCACATGTTCTGACCTTATCTAATCTCACAAGAGGAAGACAGGATTACCAGCAGTAACCCAAGGCCTATTACTGCAAG